TTGACAATAAATACTTTGTTACGATATTTTTTAATTATTTTTCAACGGAAAACGTTTTCGAATTTGAAAGTATGGTAAATTCGCCGTTATATAAGCCAATAAGGAGTTGTTTATGCTTAAAATATTGTCATATAGATAATAATGGAAGACAAATTTCAGGACGACACAACAATTTAATAGAGGCAAGAAGAAACTATCAATGATAAAAAAAAAATAAGATAACTCTGCCTTTGCCGGTCCCAAGCCCGGATGAAAAAGCAGGAGAGGGAGAGCAGTAACAAGCTCACTAAAAAACCTGGGCTCAGCTGGCCCGGCTGCTAGTACTCTGTAAGGGCTCCAGGGATACAGGATGAGCAGCGTTTGTACTCCATGTTAGGAGCGGCTGCACATGGCATCTGTTCCTCATGTCAGAGGCGGTCATTTCTTTTGGAGCTAAGTCGGCCTTACACTGAGTAGTGCTCCCAGTCTTAATGACAAAGGCAGACGCATTCTACTTCACCCAGTCATGATGGTTGTCAAACAAGCTTGATACCCTAATATGATTGAGTGGAGATAAGAAAGAAGATAAAGAAGAAGATAAGGAATGAGGGAAGTTTACAGAGTAGCAAAATATAAGCATAAAAAATGAAACTCTGTTAATAAAATAACAAATACCTTGCTACAATATTGTCACGTACAAAATAATGAAAGACAATCTCAAGGAGGACTCAACAATTTATTTGAAACACAGGTACAAACTAAAATTTATAAAATACACGATAAACAATAAGGGAAGTATACAACGTAGCACAAGAAAAAAAATATCAAAATAAATACTCTGTTCTGAATTATAAATATTTGGCTCTACAGAACTCTCCTTCCTTATGGGAGCTGTGACTCACAGCTTGTAAATCGGCAACTGCCTTTTGGGACATGTGCGAGATGCAATACTGAAAGATTTTCTATAAGAAGATAGCACTGTGAACAATTCTCACTATGTTCTAACTTCACGAAAGCTTAAGGAAGCTATTCGAAAAAATGACCAGAGATTCCTCTTCTTCTTCTTCTTTCTTATCTCTACTCAATCATATTAGGATATCAAGTTGTGACCTTTGATGGTGTCTGTTTGACAACCATCATGATTGGGTGAAGTAGAATGCGTCTGTCTTTATCATTAAGACTGGGAGCACTACTCAGTGGTAGGTCGACTTAGCTCCGAAAGAAGTGACCGCCTCTGACATGAGGAACAGACACCATGTACTGCCGCTTCTAACATGGAGTACAAACGCTACCCATCCTGTATCCCTGGGGCCCTTACAGGGTACTATCAGCCGAGCCAGCTGAGCCCAGGTTTAGAAACTTGTTACTGCTCCCTCTCCTCTTTTTTTATCCGGGCTTGGGACCGACAAAGGCGGAGATTCCTCTTGAATTCGTCAAGTTACATCATGACAATACCTCATTCCAGACTTCAGAAGCTATTGAACAAATGGGATGGTCACTGGTTCCACAACCTCCAAACAGCCCAGATTTGGTATCTTGTTACTTCTATTTATTCTCCCCAATGAAACAAAAAACTGAAGGGACAAAGATTTGAAGACCTACAGGAAGTAAAGTAAAACCATAAAGATATGGTTGAGAAAATAACTTCCATCATACATTACAAGGTACAATTTCCTTAAGTTTTGTCCATGAGCGTAGCTTAAACCAAATGTACAGAATTGACTTCATGCCTGAACCAGTGAGATTCTGTAATCTTATAGATTTTAAATGTTTGTTTTCAACCTAGCGAAACCTGAAGAAAGTTGAGATGTTTGGCTTGTGTGTAGGTAGGTGGTGGTCAACTTGTCCCATTTCCTAGAAGTTTGTATAAATAACCACTTGGCATCTCCTCGGTAAACGGAACATTGTGGATTCGATTCCCATCCCTGGACATTTTATTTTTCCGTTCATCATTACTCTTCATATTTCACCCTTTCATACCTCATCCAAAAAAGGTTAGAAATAGTCAATATTTCACCTTGAAATAAATTTTGATTTTTCATTGAAAATAAACTCATGCGGTGTAACTTCAAGTGTCGTTTTATATATAACTACTGTCGAACTGTAGAGTGCGCGCAGCAATTTCTGACTTCACTGGGATTGTCGGACAGACTGGATTCTACAGATCTGTGCCATACCTATACACTATAACATGAATCATGAAAATTTCTCTTATAGAATTGTAAATAGTTATAAAACGAAGAGAAAATTTTTTATTTTTACTATACATGGGCTACAAGCTTTCGGGCTTCACGCCCTTCGTGTATCTTTCAGAGTTATTGTCTTAATCCCATTATACATGCTAAACGGCACAACTTCCTTAAGTTTTGTTCATGAGTGTATATAAAAATATATTATAAAAAGCAAAACTATAAGGCACGGATGCTTCTTTTTTCAAATGAAACAAAATTTCTCTCTACCATCCTGAGAAATCATATTGTTACTCTTCTTAAAACTTATGTTCATAGTACCCGTCGAAGGGCGTGAAGCCCGAAAGCTTGTAGCCCATGTATAGTAAAAATAAAAAAATTTCTCTTCGTTTTATAACTATTTACCTATACACTCATGGACAAAACTTAAGAAAGTGGAAAAACCTTGATGTCGCCGGTCGTCTATTTTTTTTTTAAGGAGACTGAAGCAATTCTGATCACACCTGGTTATCTCGTGTTTCTTCAATAAAGGTCACTGTGTATCAAATATCTTTCAGAGTTATTGTCTGAATCCCGATATACATGCTAAAAGGTACAACTTCCTTAAGTTTTGTCCATGAGTGTATCTTTCAGAGTTATTGTCTGAATACCAATATACATGCTAAAATTACAACTTCCTTAAGTTTTGTCCATGAGTGTATCTTTCAGAGTTATTGTCTTAATCCCATTATACATGCTAAACGGCACAACTTCCTTAAGTTTTGTTCATGAGTGTATATAAAAATATATTATAAAAAGCAAAACTATAAGGCACGGATGCTTCTTTTTTCAAATGAAACAAAATTTCTCTCTACCATCCTGAGAAATCATATTGTTACTCTTCTTAAAACTTATGTTCATAGTTTGCTTAAATACCAGAACCAGTACCAAAGGTACAACTTCCTTAAGTTTTGTCCATGAGTGTATATACAAATATATAATAAGAAACAAAACTATAAGGCACGGATGCTTCTTTTTTCAAATGGAACAATATTTCTCTCTACCATCCTGAGAAATCATATTGTTACTCTTCTTAAAACTTATGTTCATGGTTTGCTTAAATACCATGAACAGGATTCTATCCTTCAGTGTAACATATATAAGCAAAATCATTCAATACAAAATTTCATTACAATAAGAACAGTAAACCTTTGAATTATTTGTGAAAAGAAACATTCGCGTCTTAATTTCTTTATTCGTTAGAGTATTATCCAGATGACACAAGAACCTATAGGACATGCAACAACTGTCCTGGTGTGGAACTAACACCTACCCACATATTCTCATGCCCAGCAATGGCCGCAGCCTTGCAGAAAATTGACTTAGACCCAGAGCAGCAGCTTTACGCACCCAAGATAGTGGATATTGCTGCTGCTGTGATAGATATGTATGGAGACATCTGAGACTCTTCTTTGGACACGACAACAACAACAATACATTATACACACCCAATATAGAGGACATTGCTGCTGCTGTGATAGAGATGTATGGAGACATCTGAGACTCTCCTTTGGACACGACAACAACAACAACATTAAAGCTCTAAAACAACGGTCTGAAAGATAAAATTGGCGAAACCTCTGATTCATGCCTGATAAGCCAAGTTTACCAATATATTTTTTACTCGAAGTAAGAACAGTAGAAAGTATGTTTTATTTGACAGAACCATTTATGCTTGAAAGTTTCATTTTTTAGATAAAGATGTCGCTTTTTATCATGCAATAGAAATCTAAATTATAATATAATATTGTTGAGAATTAAAATGTATATATCTGTGAATATTTATTGTTTATTATTAATCTACTAGCCGAATGACCAGGGCAACGCCCGGGTTTTACCCGATTAAATGCTTTTATTCAAATACTATTTGTTACAATTATAAATTGGCGCCGTGGATGTCATTCTTGTATAATATATAAATGAGTTTTAAAAATTGTAAAAAAAAAAAAATTCATCCGCGGGGAATCGACCCCGGGCCGCCCGCGTGGCAGGCGAGCATTTTACCACTGAACCACCGATGGTTATGAGAAATGGCCATATTTGGGTATTTATTCCATTCACAAAGCAAACGGTGACAGAATTGATTAAGAAAGAATTGATTATGACGCTGATAACTGTATATATATTTTTTTATTCTGTTTGACCATTGACCACGTGTCATGCAAATGTATAAATTGTAAGATTGTAAAAATAAAGGTTCAGAGTATCAGTGTGCTTGCTTGTGCTTCCGTGGTGACGTTGGACGGAAAAGAATTAACGAGGTAGGCGGCAGTAGAGTGGAGCCTTATAGGAGCAGAATACAGTTCTCTAAGTGGAGCTAACATTATAATATAATGCGGCTTATGATTGTAAAACGACATTTTAAAATTATCCGCATGAGTTTCTTTTCAATGAAAAATCAAAATTTATTTAAAGGAGAAATAACGATTATTTCTAACCTTAAGAATGAGGTATGAAAGGATGAATTGTGAAGAGTAATGATAAACGGAAAAATAAAAGTGTTCAGGGATGGGAATCGAACCCACAGTGTTCCACTAAGCTACCCTGGGTAATGATGAAGGTACTCTATCAATGCTTTTAAACACGAAAACAAGCTTTATTTAGAAGTTACACACATTGTATAATTAGTTACATAAAATGACAATAAAACATACCAGAGAGAATGTATACAGAGTTAGACAATATATTTGAGTCACTAAAATTAGGTCGAGCTTTTTTGCTGCATCATATTGGTTATTAAGACCAACACCATAGGTTGTATATGCCATATTTAGTAATATCAATACGTCCAAGGTAGCCTAGTGGATATGGCATCTGCCCGGTAAGCGGAACATTATGGGTTCGTTTCCCATATTATTTTTCCGTTCATCATTACTCTTCATAATTCACCCTTTCATACCTCATCCAAAAAGGTTAGAAATAGTCAATATTTCACCTTGAAATAAATTTTGATTTTTCGTTGAAAAGAAACTCATGCGGTGTAACTTCAAGTGTCGTTTTACAATATCAAAGGGGGGTCGGTGGAAAGATGGCCAAAACCGTTGGTTTTCGACTGCTACGACCCGGGATCGAATACCACATTGGACACTTTTTTTCTGATTAGGAAAAAAAGTTCCAATGGCCCTCCGATTCTTTCAAAAGTCCAACCCCACCAGCGAGTGCAAGTAACTAAACAGGGCTATGACAGATTTGTAAGTGCAAAGTCAAACTGCTTTTCACATGTGTAGACATGTGGTACATTTATAGTAAAAGCAATCGCTAATTACCCACCATGATTATCGTGGCTTGTACCATGTGTACTAAGGATAAGTAAAAAATATAAAAGTAATGTCAAAAGTACTTATTATACCAATTGCTTCTTTATTAAAGACTGCCACGATCGAAAACAAAGTTTGAATTGATTTTAAATAAAATATAAAAATAAATTTCAATACAAGATTATCTCATAATTATATTTTTTAAAAACCTATTTTGAGCCCGCACTTTTCAATAGTCTAATCTCCATTCACGATTCTTTTCGTTCCTGCTGAATTTCTTGCGATTACAAATTATTCTTTAAATTCGAAACTATTATAGACGCGTATGATTCTTTTTAATAATAAACAATTTCTACTGTCCTTACTGCAATGGAGAAATTAATGGAAGGGCCTGGCTCATCAGTGGTGAACCCTCCCAGCGGTTTGATAACAAATGGCACGCTAATGCATCATAACAAATTATTTTGTTGAAGAAAACGTGTCCTAAAGTTTGATTTTTAACTTATGAAAGAAACGTGTCAAAAATATTTTCATTATATTATTTTTTACACAATTTTATCTATAGGAAATGTAAACATTAAGACACGAATGTTTATTTTATACATCAATCAAACTTCTACTTTCCTTATTGCGATGGAAAAATATTAGGAAGGCTTGGCTCATCTGTAGTAAACCCTCCCAGCGGTTTCGCCAGTTTAATCTACCATACCGCTGTTATATTGCATTTTTGGAACTTCCTTTTTTGGATTATAGATGATACAGGTAACAACGCTGTTACTGAAACGTCATTCATTATTTATTTATTTAGATTTATAGTCTTATTTACCTTGTGTTTTTGATCCTTTCATGAATAATTTTAAATATTTTATTATGATAATCATAATCCAACCAGGTTGTGTTATATAAGTGTCAGGATAGATATAATATTGGATGAAGGTAGTCACGACCTAGTGAATGCTGAACAGATTGATTTAAACAATTTCCGTGTTTCAAGATACCATCAAATTTCTCATCACACATGCATAGATCCTATGTAATCTACCAGACCGCTTCTTAGAGCTCTAATACTGTATTGGATCATTCTGCTTTTATATGCTATACTGAAAGTGGAATCTTAGAAATGGTATTTAAACAAACTATGGACATATAAGATTTTAGAATTGAGCTTTAATGTTAACATTTTTTTATATATAGATGGTGTGTTATTTCTTTATAACAATTTTATCTTTAACATAATGTAGTATAATTCATATCATAATCGCTTTATATATATTATAAAACAAAAAATATATTTCTGTTGTATTTTAGAATTGTTGATATATTGAATTATTATTATTTGTTGCTTGATTTTGGTATCCATGAGTATAATTATGTTATTGTTCTGCAGTCGTGGCAATAATAATCTTGAAAATATAAAGTCTAAAAATAGTCTTGATCAGAGATTTATTTTATTTACTAAAGGAATATATTAAAAAAACATGGTTTGATAAAAGTACTGCCTGGCTTAAGGCATAAGAATAAAAAATGAAATACTTATTTACATAATGTACAAAAGGTTGAGCCGGCCATTGGGATAAAACAACAACGAGTTTTTATAGGGGAAGAGTGACCTCTGGCGGTCGATTTAGCAGAATATTTGAATCTATGAAAATATGATTTTAAATAAAATAAAATTTTTATATAACATATATATATTTATACATAGTGTGGAAGTTGTAAAGTTTATTCGATCGTTAATTGGTTTTCTATTATTACGTGACACACACACTTCTGACAGAAATTACTTGTTTCTTGTTTACACGCAAAATTAAAAAGTACTAGGCCCTAAATTAAAAAAGTAGCTTAAAACAGAAACGCATACACTCAAAAGCCATAACAAAAAAAAAATGGAGGACGTAAATAAAAAAACGATAAGTAATAACAAATCAATACTTATCTTTTAAGAAACTGATAATTTATTTTATTTATTATATATTTATAATTATATTTAATTCTGCTGTCCTAAAAGCTTATGTCCATAGTTCTTCTAAAATACCCATTCTAAGAGTCTTACAACAGTCACCTATAAAAGGAAGTTCCAAAAATGCAATATAACAGCGGTATGGTAGATTAAACTGGCGAAACCGCTGGGAGGGTTCACCACTGATGAGCCAGGCCCTCCCTTTAATTTTTCCATCGCAGTAAGGACAGTAGAAATTGTTTTATTTTAAAAAGAATATTACGCCTCTAAAATAGTTTTATAATTTATATTATACTTATTGTACATATTGGCAGACACTTCTTTCTTTTGTACACAGTTCTTTTTTCTCGTTTTTTTTTTCTTTCTCATTGTCAATATCATATGACTATTCTATTCATGGCTTAAAATGATTGTATATATTGTTGCACCGGGCTGCGGTTTGGCAGATTCTTCAGTCTTGATTCTCTCCTCGGACACGTCTTGCATCTTTCGAGAACGTGTCTCAACCATCCTACAAGGTTAAACAAGTCAATAATAAGACAACTATACATTTAGGTAGCACCTAGAATATCTCTTTATTTATCATATCAAAGTTTAAAGCAGGTGGGGTATTTTAGTGTATCAAAATACAAATGTTTTATAGTAAATAATATTTTATAGTAATAATCTGTTTCATAAAATAAATAAATATATAATTTAAATTTTAAATATTTTAAAAATAATATTATAAATAATTTTTAAAATGCGCACATTAATCATGATGCAACAATATATATGTATAGACAAATGTCATACATGTATCACAGCACAAGTGTCCCTAGGGGGACATAGCGCTTTAAATTGAAATTAAAGAATACTTATCTTTTATTCAGCGTTGATAGGAGCGGACCGGGGTTACACAGGTATGTGAGGAGATCACCAGACAAGCACACAGAGAAAGCTCTAAGTATCTTCACACAACAACTTCTCAAAGTGTCCTCACATTACATTTGAACCCTCTTTATATACAAACATAGCCACATTCGTCCAATGAGAAGGCGTGACAATTGACAATTAAACAACTTTATTGACATCTCGTCAATCTTTACACTCAAAGGGAGTTTATAAGGTAATAATAATGGTAGGAATGAAGAGAGATATATACAATCGACGTAGCCCTCTCCGAGGGCACGTCCGGATTAGGAGCTTAAAGTCGCCTTGAATCTAGACAGATTCCTGCCATTTGGGGAGTTCATGTTCGGAACATGTTTGATGATAATGTCGAAATGAGAAGACGTGGGAGATCGGTTCACTAAAAGCAAATAAACAACATTCTTCCCACTCAACTGAGAAGCGTAAAACCTTTTAAGTTTGTCAAACAATTTGACATTTCAATTAGCCAATCAGCATTGAGTGTATTTGTCAATCAACGTGAAGTATATATAGTTCAGTGGTTGTATCGAACAAAGAGAAACAGAGATAAAATCTATTTTGAATATAATACCGTGGGTTTGATTCTCAGAATTTCTTTTTAATTTTCGTAGCTTTGCGTCGTTTCGTTTTGCGTTTTTTTCGAAGTTGCGTCGCTGCTTAATTTTTACTGATTTTCACTGTGCGTCGTTAGATTTTCGAAGTTGCGTTGTTTTGGATTCGAGTCTTTAATTTTTTATTTTTTTTTTTAATTTTTTTTCCTAAAATATGGCAACACCTTTGTTTTTGATTGTGCCTTCAAATATTTTCACTTTGCGTCGTTTCAATTTGCGTCGTGTTTTTTTGGAACGTAACCCCGACGCAAAGCGAGGTATGAGTGTATTATATATATAAAAAAAAGTTTTGCCATTTTGTCTGTAAGCTTTGAAAGCGAATTAATTTCAGAGTTGTTTTTATATGAATTATTTTGATATTTTGATTGTTAATTCGTTGTATTATAAGTAATGATGTTTGACTTCCTTATTCTGTAATAGTCAATTCTAGTGTCGTGAGAATGGATAGGTTTATTTATACCAACCTACCTCAGTACAAAGTATTTTAACCAGCGTCATATCAAGTCGAATGGTTATTCTGTCCCTATATAACTTTTACAAAGCAGTAACTCCCTGCGGTTCCCCCTGGACCCTTGGAATAATCGACCAAATTCTGGTTCGTTTCCAAGGTGACTAACGTGGCAACGGCACCCATTTTCCAATGAAGAGCAAGATAGTGAATATTGTTGCTGCTGTGATGGAGATGCATGGAGACATCTGAGACTCTTCTTTGGACACGACAACAACAACAACAAAGCAGTAAGCAGTAAGTAGGATCTCCTCCACTGCATGATGGTGATTGATCATTGTGAGGATATCGTTGTAAGCCGGCAATGAAAGAGGAGAATCTGACTGGTGACTTACAAGGTTGACCCAAAAGTTCGTAAACACTTGAAAAAAAATTGAAATACCAACATTATTCGCGGTTATGTATAAATATATTTTTGTATTATTTAAAAAGTAATTGTATTATGTATTATTATGTATATTTGTCGTAATAATATTATTCGACAGTTAATAATCAAAAAACACGAACTTTTTGGAAAACCTTATAATAAAGGTTTTGTGTTTGATTTTAATTACATCGATATATTTTATAAGCCCTGATAAGCTTGCTTCCATGTCCGTCTGTCTAACCCAGCAGG